TAGCTGTGGTTTGTATCATTATGAATGCAGGACAGAGAGCACTAGCACACAGCTACTACTCCCTGAGGTGCCTCATATAATCTGACCATGGGTCAAAGCCATAGACAAGCATTTTAATAGTCACCTTTTTACTACCGGCTGGTGATAGCAAGGACTGACTGCTCATCCCACCAGGGAGTAATGTTTTGCTGATCCTCACTGCCTTTCATGCGTAATCGTGAAAATCACAATAAACTTCCAAGTGGAATATCTCAGAGCATAGACATGCTCGAAGGATTTTTCCCAGTGAGAGTGTGTATAAACATGATGGCCACAAACTATTCTATGCAAACATACCCACTTACTGAAGGCACCGAAATTTCGGTATTCTTAGTTTATTGGGCAGCTGACAGCATTATTGTCTTACTTTGTGTCCCCCTGGACACATAACTGATCTGCAAAGGCAGTTTTCTGTTCTTAGGGCTGAATTTTATTACAAGCAAAAAGCACATCTCTGAATGTGTCAGTGCTGCTTTCTAAGGTTTCAAGTCATGTTTATTTTTGTATAATCTGCAGTTTGTCACTTAAAATTGAACTTTTTGCATTGCAATAAGGCTGTAGTAAATCAATGGTTTTGTTTTCACTGTAATATTCACTGAATATTTTGTTTTAATGTTTTTATAGCCCTATTTTATTGTCTTTGCGATTTTATTGCCATAAGTGCAATCAAGTAATTTTCTACTGTCATATTTTATCATACCTACCTTTGCCAATACCTACCATGTTTGATATATTACAGTGATACCTAACCATGTTTAACATTGTTAATGAAGACTGACAGAAGGCATTCTGCAATACTGTAGCATTTTTTACAGCACTTTGTTTTTTGTACGAGTATTTTGGGATGGAATTAAAATTCAGGGCGTTGCCAAAACCACAATTTGATTGTGAAACACACATTTTTGGTGAAACCCATTAATTTCAACTACTCATGGTTCTAACATACCTAAACTTAAGTGCACTGGGTGAAAAAAAATCATTTGTTCGACTGCTGCTTTTTGGCTGTAACAAATTCTCTACCTTCATATATTCGCTACTGGGCCAATCTGTTTGCTAAGCTAGCCTGCTAAATTTCATTGCACTGATATAAGTCTGATCGAAGAGAACAGTTTGTGCCTTTTGTATGTGTACAGGTTTCTGGACCAAGTATCTGGCCAGCCCCTAATTGCTTTGTATAATTATAATTACTATAAAGCATGCAAGTTTTGGGACAAAGTGTGCCAGCATTGTTATGTATTATAAAGCTCACAAGCATGCAACAAGATTTGTTGAAATTTTGCATTTACTTTTGGATACGCAGTATGATACATTCCAGGCAACACCAGAAACAATAATCAGTTGACGTTTAAAAGCCTGTCTTGTCTCCAAGCAAAACAGATTATCATAATGATAGACAGCAGTCACAAATCGTCACAAACCTAATAATTGCAATTTGTTACCGACCCCCATCCAGCCCATCGAACTTTTGCGATTCTTTTCATGACTGCTTAAACCAGATTACTGTTCGTTTCCCAGGTGCGACTATTATTCTTTTAGGCGATTTTAACTTCCTGGACATTCAGTGGTCAGACACTTACCAGTGCTCTATGGCAACGTCATCTGAATCTACCGAATTTCTTTCGATTTGTAACGACTTTGGGCTATCACAATTAGTTCAGCATCCCACACGTGTCACCTTGACTACATCATCACTTCTAGATCTCGTGTTGACGTCATCTCGAGATCTTGTGTCCCCAATAACACTGCTGCCTGGGTTAAGTGATCACGACATAATTCATTTTTCTCTATCGTTTCCACGCTTGCGCTCATCCAACCGTTTTAAAATAATCAGAGATTATAACAGAGCTGACTTTAACACCATAAATACTAAATTATGCTCTTTCTTAGATACTTTTTTCTCTGCAAGTTTTGAACGCACTGCAGAAGATAACTGGAACCTATTTAGAAGTAAAATTTTGGAACTAACTAATAAATATATTCTGGTAAGAAAGGTGTACTGCAATACTAATTCTCCCTGGTACAACCGACACTTAAATAGACTCTCTAACCGCAAGAAAAGACTGTTGAGAGCTGCGAGGACATCCCAGTCTTTGGCTCGATGGCTAGCTTACAAATCTGCAGCTTCTACCTACTTAAGTGAACTAAAAGTAGCTAAATTTACCTTTTTTAACAGAACCTTACCATCAGGGCTGCAAAAAAATCCCAAACAATTTTGGAACATTGTATGAGGTAGTAACAAGCATAGCAACCTGTCTTTAATATCCCAAGGTAATGTAATTCCGGATCATCAGTGTGCATGTTTACTTAACCGTACTTTTGCTGAAACCTTCTCTGAACCATCCAGTAGTAATGATATACTTCTTGCAAAGCCGTTTTATTTTCCCTCAATGGACATCACTGTCATTAGCTCGGAAGGAATACGGTTCATTATAATTAAACTAAAGATTTCATCTTTATGCGGCTGCGATGGTATCACCACAAAATTCTTGAAAAACACGGCAGAGTACTCTTCTCTAATCCTTGAACGAATATTCACACAGTCTCTTCTTACGGCAGTGCTTCCTAACGACTGGTTAATCAATAGGGTGGTACCTTTACATAAGTCCGGAACAACCCACGATCCAGGTAACTTTCGTCCCATCTCTCTCACATCAGTACCATGTAAAATTTTAGAGCATGTCATTTACTCTCACCTTATCAAGATTCTTCAAGACAATGATTTTTTTACACCCGCTCAGCATGGCTTCCGAAAACAGTATTCGTGTGAAACACAGCTTCTACTTTTTACTAATGACTTACACATATCCCTTGACTCTGGAACAATAACTGACTGCATCTTTCTAGATTTCAGCAAAGCCTTTGATAAAGTAACACACTCCCTACTACCACATAAACTAAGCCTATTAAACATTGACTCATATGTGCTCGCTTGGATCCGTAGCTTTCTTACTAACCGCTCCCAATACGTATCGGCTAATAATTTCGACTCGTCTACTACACCAGTTCGCTCCGGAGTGCCACAGGGGTCTGTCCTTGGGCCATTGCTGTTCCTAATTTACATTAACGACTTGCCTAACAATATTTCTTCAACAACGCGCCTATTCGCGGATGATTGTGTAATTTATTGCCAAATATCTAATAATAATGACATCACTACCCTCCAAACAGATTTGATTAACGTGCTTAACTGGTGTAAATTATGGCAAATGGAATTAAATGTTTCGAAGTGCAAGTCTATGCGCATTTCACGTAATACTACCGCATGTCCAAATCATTTCCTTAACAGCACCGTACTCGATCCAGTCCCCTCTTATAAATACCTTGGTGTCCATATTACTAAAAACTTATCTTGGAAACATCATATCAACTCTGTCACATGTAAGGCAAACCGGGTTCTAGGATTCATGCGAAGAAACTTTTACATGGCCCCTGTTAATTTAAAAAAGCTTTTTTACATTACGTACGTTCGTCTGCATTTGGAATACCGTCATCAATATAGGACCCTGGTAATATCACTATAGTTAATGAACTTGAGAGCATTCAGAATCGCGCTGTTAAATTTATATTATCAGATTGTCGCCGTACCGCTAGCGTAACTAACATGAAATCAATTATTAACATTCCTTTACTCGCTACACGCCGTAAGATATCCCGTCTCGTACTCTTCCACAAAATTTACAACAACTCTCTTCTGCGTTCACTTTTAATAACCCCACCGTCATACATTTCAACTCGTACTGACCATGTGCAGAAGGTTTCTGTTCCTCGCTTCAAGGCATCAACATATTCCCACTCATTCCTGCCTAAAACTTGCAAGGATTGAAACTACCTCCCACAATCAGTTGCATCCATCACCTCGCCTTGCAGTTTTAAAACATCGCTCGATAACATACTTGGTGTTCGAAATGTAAACGTTTGATTTTGTTGTTAGTTTTCTTGTATAATCTACTGGCTGTATAACATAGTTGCAGTTGATAATAGTTGCTTTCCAGTGTTTAATAATGTTCTAGTGTCTTGTCTATGTATTCTTTTCTTTAACATTGTTCGTCAGTGCGCGCTCCCCTCTGCAATGCTGTAAAGCCCTAAGGGTACAATAAATAAATAAATAAATAAATAAAATAAATAAATAAATAAATAATTCTTTCAATAAATATGGCACCGATTTTGCTGATTAGAATAATGCTAGCAATATTTTGAAGCCAAATTATGATGCTATGCCTACTTGTCACTTTCAAATGTGAACAGCTAACTGGACCTATTGTAAAATGCTCACATGATACAACAAATAACCAAGGGAAATGCTCAACAAGCTGGTTTGCACGAAAAATAGATGTCTAAAAAAAGGTGTTAAAAGATCCAGCAAAAATTTTTTTAGAATCTTGGCAAGAAGTTTACTAGGCTCCTAATATTATAAGTATAGTAAACTTTTACAAAGGTTCGTTAAAAATCTAGAAAGACTTTTCTTTAGAATTCTTCTAGAAGTTTTCTAGCGGTATAATAACGTGGCATTAGCACAGCTACAGGAGGTTTTCAAGCTGCTTAGGTTTAAGTAACGTCTTACCAAGACTTCTTGATATACTTTTGGACTATTCTTTTAGGACATTTACGAGAAGTTTTTTAGCTTTTCTTGGGAGATGTTCTGCTTTGTCTCATGTACGACTTTCTACATACAGGTGTAATCCTAAATACCTCAAAAGAAGAGACATGACAGTCTGTGCAGCATTTTCTCAAAAGAAAAGACATGACATTCTGTGCAGCATTTTCTCAATAAATGCGGGTTTGTATCATGCTGCTCTTATACTGTATCATTCATTGAGGTAGCCCGCCCTATAGGACAATGAGGTCTGTGTACTGTACAAGTGTTCAGTAAAGTCGCATGCATCAACCACAGTACGTACTACTTGCAGAACTTTGTACCTGTTATTGAACTATCCTGCTAAGCATATCCACCAAGCACTCACCTGGAGGAAACGTGAAATGACCCTCCGATACTCCCGTGGCATGGCAACGACGTTTTCAAACATCCAGAAGAGGTGCCTTCCCCCATTCGCTTGTAACACAGTGCGCAAGACTCGGTAGAATTCAAAAAAGAGTATACCCGTGCCTGTTGGATCTGCCGATAAAGAAAAAGCCTTAAAAGATTTGCAGTCAATGAGAATAACACATTATGCGAGGCTTACCTGAACGATATATGTAAGAAGGTGCCTGCCAGATAAAACTCGCAAGCCGGCTGAACAAATTTGTTGTCATGGTAATAATAATTAAGCAGTAGTGAACATTAAAAGATTTGCAGTTAATGAGAATAACACATTATGTGAGGCTTACCTGAACGATCTATGTAAGAAAGTGCCTGCCAGATAAAACTTGCGAGCCGGCTGAACAAATTTGTTGTCATGGTAATAATAATGAAGCAGTAGTGAACATTTTGTAGCGTAGAGATTCACCCGACAATAGTGCATGAAGAAGTGTTAAACAGACACGTGCTTCAAGGCTGTTCACGTGATCAGCAAGTCCAATTTTGTTTCACATTTTCTCGTGTCTTCTGACTCACGTGCTACTCCTCCATCCTACAAAATACTACACCAAAAGCCCAACATGGAAGTTTAATGAGTGTAAGATATAAGAAGTCCTTCTTATAAAAACATATTTACCACTGTGCTTGCTCCCATAAACATGAGCAGGGTTCCCCTCCAGGAGGGAGGGGGCAGAGGTTTGTCGCCCTTTTCTTGTTATGTCAATGTATGACACTGGCTTTGGCCAATCTCCTGCATTACCCCCTACACATGCTCATTGTGGAATTGGCGTTTTGGTTCCACTTTTGGAACCAGTTGACTGGCTCCTAAGGGGCATTGTACATATGTATATATAGTGATGCTTGTGTATATAAAAGGAGTCTCTGCTACTGGCTGCTGCCTACTTCTTGTTGGCCGGTGCTGTGTTCTTTGTTCGGCGCGTCTGCCGCACGATATTACACTTATGCCTCTAAATGTAAGCTTTAACGCTTATGCTCATGTGTCGACAAATTATGACCCTGCAGCAATGCGCCATGGCACCCTAGCCGCTAGGATTATGCGCTGCTTTGCACAAAGGTACTGCTTATGAGCTATTCATCATGTTTAGCACTCTGGCACTGGTAGTACTTGGTGTGTCCACAGTGTTTTGTTAGGCACCAATGTTGAATCGCCTGCTGGCATCTTCATAAGGATAGACCATGGAGATGCGGATCCACTCTTTTTGGCGGAGCTTTTAGACTCTAAAAATATGTCTTTTTTCATTATCCCGCGCAAAACAAGAATCAATGTCAGTGTACTACCAAAAGTCAATGGGAACACAATATCAGAGATTCGCACGCTTCGAAACTCATCTGGACGGCAGCTGCACGAGGCGTATCGCCTCGCAAAGCCGAACAGCCCTTCTCTGGTAGCGGCCTGTTCTTCCAATCTAAAGTAGGCATTCAAAAAAGTGTTTATTGCAGAGAAAATGCATTTTTTAAACTGCTCAGATGACCTTGAGTAGCAATGCATTTCTATTTCATATCTCGCTGGAGTAATAATAACAAGCTTCAGATATCAATATCACGTTCTTTCTGCGAAACCTGCATTCCTCGACTCATTTTATTCTACAAGTATTTCTATACGCTCCACAATAGCGTGTGTCGTACTGGTTATAAACATGGTTATAAATCTTCTTAGTTGCCATGCAAGCCCCTTAATCATGAAAAGTTGACATGAAGCACATTGCCCTTACCCTATCAATTGCATGCGAGACGTAATAAAACAATTATAAAAATTATTCTTGAAAAAACACTGCCCAGAGATGCGATCTATCTTGTGATAGAGGAAGTAGCGGGATTCGATATTGAACACCTCACCCATTTCAAAGAGAAGAATAGGGACAAAATAATTGGGCTCAATAATTTAGAAACCAGCCCCTCCTACTCCTAAATGATGGCCCCTAAAAGGTGGCCTATTCATGCAGCAGAACAGTGCAGAGTTGGTCTTCCGGGTCCTAGTCAAGCAACATGGCTTTCCACTGCTTCTTATTATTGTGCAGTTAAGGTTATAAACTTCAGAGCGAGCCCACAGAATGCATTTAACATTCGTTTGCTCTCAGAAACTGAAGTATGTATCGCACAAATCACTTTTACTGTGGCATTGACATCAGTTTCCCTAATCTCAGTACCTAAGCACCTTTACAGAGTCACCAAACTTCTGTTTCCTCAGTAGAGTACTCACCATATAGGCCTTTCTTATTTGGGTTGACGTTCGCTAGGTCGTTACATGGGGAGCCACCAATAAGAAGGTCGATGGGACACAGTTCCTGGAGCTGCAGTAAGTACAAGCAGACCTTAGGTCACTGTTTTAACCTATCCTGATTTTATGTACATGCGCGCCAGTGCAAAAAGACTGGTCGTGACAGTTGTATTGACTTTTGTAAGTTAATTTCTGTCATTCAAAGCCCCCCTACCCAGAGAAAATTAGCGTCCTATATCATCGTTTTTTTAGTAAAATTCATCTGGTGCCCAACCTCGCTTAAAACCCGGCATTCTGAATGGCCTAGCTTTAATGAAAATGGTAGTAGAATGGGGTTGATACTGAATACTGGGCACCCTTCTCAGAAATACCAGTCACAACAATACACAAGTGATGCCAACCTTTTGGTCTTTCAGGTGTTCTACTGGCCCCAGGTAAATAATAGAGGATCCATGACGAGTCAGGCCAACATGAATGGCGTCCTTGTCTACTTCACTGGCATAGTATGCCTCCACTGAGAGGCCCAGTTGGTCCAGCACGTACTTTCCTGTCAAACAAGCAAGTCTGTGTAACTAAAAGTACTTAGCATGTGGAAACACTACCGTACAGCAGTTTAAGACTCCTCACTATGACTAACGTACAGCAGTTTAAGACTCCTTGCTATGTCTTGAACACTGCCATTGTTTAGAATAAAGCAAAGTATGCTGTTGGCACTGCATACACATGAAACCTAACACAGTGGCTACTGTCCAATGCTTACTAGAGGAGAGCTTGCATGTTGGCCACATTTCATTGCGGGTAATTTGCAGAAAACCTGCTGTTGACACTGCATACACATGAAACCTAACACAGTGGCTACTGTCCAATGCTTACTAGAGGAGAGCTTGCATGTTGGCCACATTTCATTGCGGGTAATTTGCAGAAAACCTTTTCCACTTAGAGATCTCTGGCAACAGTGCCCCTTCCTTGATAAAAAGGTCACAGCCTTGCCGCAAAAGTGAAGCAATGAACGCAATAGCAACAAATTGGAAGGTCACGTAAGGAATGGGAAGTAGATCGAATCATGCCCCAGATTTCTTTTGCACAAATAATGCACAAAATGTATGCACAAGTACTGATGAACGCGAATAAGCATCTCAGTTGTTACTTTTGCTCTGTCTGAAAAGCGCACTCTTTTTGCAAACGAAGACCGTGCAGGGAGTGCAGTGAGCTTTGTGCATCTGGTAACTATTAATTAATCGTTTCAGTGAAAGCCATAGGCATAGGGTTCTTCTCACTGCGAGATAAGATCAAGTACGCATGGCTATTCGAGTCTCTATGGGGCAAAGTACACGTGGAAAATGGAAGCGCGTGCCACCACGCTTTGACGATCTGGTGACGCACCCTCATTGTGGCACCTTGGTATAATGCTGAAAATACAACAGTTCCCTCGAGATGGCCATCACCAGGGACAAGTGGTAGATATAAATAGCTTGCCGTTGCAATGCTTCAGAAGGTGCTTCTTCCTGGCTCGATGGCTAAAGCCTCGCACTCACAAGCAAGATGCCGTACGATCGATTTGGTGCGCCGCTGTCTTTTTTTCAAAATATTTTTTTCTTCCACACGAGCATGTTTTCGCGTGCCGCCACGCTTTGACGATCTGGTGACGCACGCTCATTGTGCCACCTTGGTATAATGCTGAAAATACAACAGTTCCATCGAGATGGCCATCACCAGGGACAAGTGGTAGATATAAATAGCTTGCCGTTGGAACGCTTCAGAAGGTGCTTCTTCCTGGCTCGATGGCTAAAGCCTCGCACTCACAAGCAAGATGCCGTACGATCGATTTGGTGCGCCGCTGTCTTTTTTTCAAAATATTTTTTTTCTTCCACACGAGCATATTTTCGACAGTTAACCTTTGACGGAAGGGTAAAATAAGGCCCGCACAGTGGTAGAAAATTCGTTAATGCGGGATCGCTGGCCAACAACACTTCGTTGCCGCGAGATACGTAATACATGGGCTTCTATGAACGTTCGCCGGGGATTCGGAAATAATTCGTTGCTGTGGAGATTTCGTACTCGCGAGGTTTCGTCATTGCGGGTTTCGACTGTATTAAGATGATGTTAGCATTCTTCAAAGATTCTGGTTTCCTTCCCATCAGAAGACACTTAGTAAACGGGGGACGAATGGCAACTAAGTATTACTGACTTGGACAAGATCACAAACGTAGGTCTTGAAATAATCTGCAGAAAATGAAAATAATGCACAACAGCCTCGTAAGAGAGCAGTGCTTCGAGATAAGCAATAGTGCACTTGAAGCTGTAAAAAATCTACATCTATTTAGAACATGTATTAACTGGGGAGTCAAATCACAAAATTGAAGTAACTAAAAGAACAAGAATGAGGTGGAGCACATTCGACAAGCACTCTCGAATCTTGACGTGTAGATTGCTGCTATCCCTCAAGAGAAAGACATATACAGCCACTATTTAGAACATGTATTAACTGGGGAGTCAAATCACAAAATTGAAGTAACTAAAAGAACAAGAATGAGGTGGAGCACATTCGACAAGCACTCTCGAATCTTGACGTGTAGATTGCTGCTATCCCTCAAGAGAAAGACATATACAGCCACATCTTGCCGGTACAAACCTAGGGAGCAGAAACCTAAAGGCGCACAAAGAGGTTTCAGGTTAAACTGAGGATGACGCAGCAAGCGATCGAAAGGAAAATGATATATGTAACCTTAAGAGACAAGAAGAAAGCTGAGTGGATCAGGGAATAAACTGGGGTTAAGGATATCATAGGTAAAATCAAGACGAAATGAACATTAGGCAGTCATGTAGCGCATAAGCAGAAAAACTGCTGGTCAGTAAAGATAGCTGACTGGATTCTCGCAGAAGACAAGCAGGGAAGGGGTTGACAGGAAGTTAGGTAGGCAGATGAAATTAGGAAGTTTGTGGGTATAAAGCGGCAGTAGCAAGCAAAAGATGGTGTTGACTGGCGGAACAATGGAGAGGCATTTGTCCTCCAGTGGAGGTAGTCTGGCTGATGATGATGATGACCATGGTTTTAGAAGTATTTTAGGTGGACTGACAACACCTCTGGAAGCGAAGAACTTCTGTCCCTGTTTTGCAGAAAGGGACCATGGCTCAGGCACAGGTTGCTTCGGGGCCGCGAAAGCAACGAAAAAAAAAAAAACTTCCGTTTTTGTTTGATAAGAAGTGCAAAAGTAAATAAAATATTAAAACCGGTGAACAAATACTACATTTTGATGATACAGCGTAGATAGCCGAGAAAAATGTTTATTTCACAACATCGAAGATTCGCGACAGGATCATATGTTTTCGCATTCACAAGCATCAGATCATAAATTGAAACATGTGATGGTGAATTCCTGTGTAATTATGACTAAAGTTAGCTCTTCATTGAAGTAATACTTACATAGTAGGTAGACAAAAATAACTTGTTAGTCGAAGTCTTGCAGTAGAAAAAGGTAATTTAGATTTTTGCCCCAGCGATCGCACTTTGATGAAGCAGGCCTGAGTGATTGGCGATCAGAAGCGTGTGAACTTGAGCTTCTTGGTACATAATTATTGTAAAAAAACAGCGCGGAAAAACAAAAGACGCGACGGACGAAACAACATTCTGTGATGCCAGTGCACATTACAGAACACGACATTTTCAAAAAATCCTGAGCTTTTCACTACTGTGTGCCTCATATTCATATTGTGGTTTCAGTGCATAAAACTGCAGATATTTTCATTGTTAACAAGTGTAGTTTTCCTTCTGGGAGAGGAGAACGGCACATGTAGGTAGGGATTTTTAAGCAAAGGACTAATCCTTAACTAAAAAACGGCACGTTTTATTTCAGCAATGTAGAAAGTCGTTCATATCTAAATGGCCACAAAGAGAATAGAAGAGTACTTCAACTCAAAAGGAAAGCAATAATGAAGACACAAGTGAAAAATGAAAGCTATGCACTTTAACTACAAGGTAGCAATTTACTGGACTAGCTTTGAGAGCTTGCGCCACTTTTTAGACTTGTTCGCCTCATTCTTTTTCATTGGTTTGCAATATTGGCGCATACGCACTCCTACATAATAGTGGAGCACTTTTGTCATTATGTCTACTTTAGGTTCCTTACGTGGAAATAAGTGATTGTAGTTATCTAACACAAATTCAATAGTCAAATCATACAATTCCTTATCACCGGCGCGCTTCGGAAATTTTTGCTCAGCTTCTATCCGCTCAGATCGGGCAGATCAAATATGGGCCATCCAGCGAGCACGGGAGGCGGCTGAGAGACAGGGTCTCTCCACCACCCATAGCGCAGCTTAGGACCCATGCCTCAATCCGCTGGTTAAATAAAGTTTGCTCACTCACTCACTCACTCACTCACTTCTTTCAAAAGATCCAATAGCACGGCATTAGGGTGTGTAAGTCCTCGTCTCATTTTAAAAACTACAAGAACTGATGCAGCTCTTTACATATCAGATGTTTCTGTCAGTCTAAGCTTGCACTTAAAAAAAGTTGTATTGTACTTTTTAGGAGTTTTCAGCAATAAAACTCACATACATAATAAAATATGCAGTTGGTATAATGATGTCTGATGCAGGAATTGAGTTAAATGCATCGTCACACTCAATCTTATCTTGCATCAATCCGTCATGCCTGTTCTTATGCTCAACCAAACATGACTGGCTGGCCAGATCCTCCTTGAAAGATGATGTTAAATCATGCAAGCTAAGGAGTTGTCGCTCTTCACTAGAAAGTAACTGGCCATTCCTGTGCTTGGGTGGCTTTATGAGACTGTAAATGGATAGAATGCTATATAATTGCAAGATCGCCGGCAAGCAGGATTGTTCATTTTGGCCTCCAGCTTGGCGTAACAAACACCAAAAAACTTTTCAAAAACATCTGCGTTAAACTTTGCAATTCACACATATTTGAAGTCTTATTTCTTTAACAAGTAGTTTGACAGCTGAATTGTCAACAGAATAGTAGCTCGCAAGCCCTCAGCAGTAGTTCGTGATAAAAAATTATGAAGATCAATTCATCCTGCCTTGACTTCTTCCTCCCAATTATTGAGCCATTGTTGAAGAAACTCCACCACTTCAAAATCCTTTCCCGCCTAATTTTAGACCCTCCTTAGGGTGTCTGCAATTCATGGCACCAAAAATGTGTTTAATTCGCACTGTGGAATTGACTTTTTTCATGCATGTGTTATAGCCAAGTTTGCACTGGGGTGCAAAACATCTTTTTCCCATTTCAGGACTTGCTCACACGAACAGCATGGACTCTCATCATGCACACACAAAAAAACAATGAAAGCAGGAGTGCAACATGACAACTGCTTTGTCTGAACAACACTGTGGTCTGAACGGCACCAACTGCTTTGTCTGAACAACACCGTGGTCTGAACGGCACCAGCACACTGCTCGCACAGCTGTGAGCCACCCACGTGACTGCTTCTGCCATCTTATGGCATGGTAGAGCGGAAGAACCAAAGTTGAGCGCAGCGAGCACGCGACGATGGCGCTCCGTCGTTCCACCTGTATTTCACC